AACGATGAACGGACAAGGTGAGTTATGGAAGCGATTGGAAAACACTTAAGAAACGCGCTGTCAGAATAGTGTTCAAACGCTCAGCCGAAAGAAACACAGAAAGAAAATTAAAATGCCATTACGCGAGAAAGCTTCGAAAAATGAGGAAATATTTTTTCTAGATGCGTAATAACATAAGGTTAACGACTCTACGGCGTAGTACTTAAAACGTAAGTATTTTGACGCATGCATCATTAATTTTACTTGAGTAAAATTGCTCACGTGTGAGCCGGGCTTAAGGCAACCACAGAAGATCTCCAGTGCCTTACACAGGTGCATGTATGTGTGAAAAAAGGAGGAGAGAGCCAGAGGGTGTATATACGAGGGGGTGGTGAAGGAGAGAGATATGTGGATATATGTAAGAGGGTAGGGAAGAGGAAGACATGGGTATATACATACATACATATATATCAAGAGTAGATAAAGAAGGATAAAAAGATCCTTCTTTATACGCTCTTGATATATATATATATATGACGGGTGGAGAGGGGGAGGCACTGGAATATGTGAGGGAGAGGTGGAGAGAAGGGAGGCCTGGGTATATGTGAGAGGGTGGGGAGGGAGGCGGTACGGATGTATGTGTGTTGGGAGGGGATGAGAGATCGAGACCGGTAAACGCAGGTAAGGTGATAGGGTGCAAGCATATTTTAAGTGCTTCTTTAGTGTGTGTAGATTCAAATGTGTTCTATGTCATAAAGGTGTAAGTATATATTAAGTGGTTTCTTGCATGGTGTGTAGGTTATTATGTTCCATGCCACAAAAACGTAACTGGGTTCCGTGTTAAGAGGTTTGTAGGTTTATATCCGTGCTATTTATACCCAAAAAAGTGCAAGTTGGTTTTTATGTGGTTTCTCAATGTGTCTAGGTTTATGTGTGTTTTATAACAAAGCGGTGCAAATGGGTTTCATTTGACTTTTAAAGGTTTCTATGTTAATGCGTCGTTCAGACCAAAACCGTGTGATTGTTTCTTTCGTGATTTTTAAAGGCGTGTTCTCGTCACCAAATCACCAACTACTTATAAGTAAAGCGCCAACAAAGGACCCGAGAAAACTTGTAGAGGGTGAAGGTGGAAATCTACTCGTGACCTAGCTGTGTAGTGAACAGGAAACACATTATCTTGGTTCTCAACAGTAAAATCGGCGAATGCCAATTGTGCTCAAAGGCAAATGTACGGTGGGACTCGAGGACAAGGAATGAGTTTAATCTGTTAATTATTATATTTCTTTTAGGGCTATTTTCTTGGCTTATTCTTTTATCTTGTTCCACGAGTCAAAGGCAGTCTCCCTGCCCCCTCCTCCCCTCCTTCCCTCCCCATCCCTCCTTCCAACTCACCGACGTAAAAACGAAGAAGGTATCCTAGCTCCTTGCTCTGTCCCACCTCCTCCCCCTCCTTCCGTCCTCCCCTCTCCTCCTCCTTCCTCTCCCCACCGCTCCACCCCTCCTCCTATCCTCTTTCCTCCCCTCCTCGCTCCCTCCCTCTACAACTCACCGACGTAAAACCGGAGAAGGTATCCTAGCTCCTTGCTCTGTCCTCCCTCCTCCCTCCTCCCTCTCCTACCCCTCCTCTACCTCCCCCTCCTCCCCTCCTCCCCTCCTCCCTCCCTCCTCCCAACTCACCGACGTAGAACCGGAGAAGGTATCCTAGCTCCTTGCTCTGTCCGACCTCTTGCATGCGACACACGTCCGCGTATCCTATCCGCGAC